TAGCCAACTGGGTCTGGTTGTGCTTTGGAGTGAAAATCGGGCGTGCATGTGTTTTCAGACCAGAGTGAAAAGTAAACAATTTAATAGAGTATTTAATATAATTTAATAGAGTATTAAAAAGAAGATTTTATGACTGCCCATGACATTTTCATTCATAGCACATCAGAGGCAGAAGGAACTTAATCCAACACACATATTTTTAGAAAAACAGAGTTAATAAATTCTGGTGGGATTAAATTGGGCAGGATTTTTGGAGGAGATGAAATTGTAGGTGGATTTTGAAAGAACGGCATGTTCTTTTTCTCCACTAGCGTAATGAGTCTTGGGACTTAATGTAGGATAACATTCAAGCTGCTCGTATATTCCTGTTTTGAAAAGAAAACAAAAGGGGACATGCCCAGATCATGAAGATAAGGAATGAATTCCCATTTCCTTATTTCTTTCTTTTTTTTTTCTTTTTCTTCTTTTTTTTTTTTTTTCCAGTAAGGATATCATTATCCTATAGGTAAATTTTCTCTATCTTTAACGTCTTCCACAAGTTGAAAAGAACAAAACAATCCCAGTATTTAGAATTGGATCACCTAGCTCTTTCTCTTCTTATCTGCCCCCCTCCCCAAGTTCAAAATGTTTACATCTTTTAATGGTCAGCATCCTCTTGGATCTGCAGTTAGGGTCAACACATTTGAAGCCTTAGGACAATCTTCTTTGTGAGGTTAGCCCTCTTCCAGAAAACTGGCTTTGTCTGTCCACTCTAGCCACTGTGCTTCCCGATTCTACTGCTTCTTCCCCTGGGCATTCAGGGAATCCTTGCTCTTCTTCTACTGGCCACTTTGTGAGGCCGATGCTTACCACACTGCTTGCAAAAAGTCCCTCCAGTTTTAGTACATCGCCCCTCTTGGCAGTAGAGCTGGCTTTATGTTGAGAAAACAAAATCAGCATCCATGATCCACGCCCAGCCGCTCGCACCCAAGTTCCCCATTTTCTTTTTATTTTTTTTAAGAATTGTCCATCCAGTTTTACTTATAACTGGAGAGAGAGAAAGTGAGAAAGCAAGCCGCCAGGTCTGGGACTCGAACCACTGTCTGCCACGTGGGAGTCCAGCACCTCAACCACCACACCACTTGCCGACCTGAGCTCCCCATTTTCTAGCTAGATGATCTTGGGTGAATTATGCAAAATTGTTGCTACTTGTTATCTACAGAAGGGAGATAATAAATATCCACCTACTAGGGCTAACAGGAGATTTAAGTATCAAAAGGTGTTTTTTGGGGTTTTTTTTGTTTTTGTTTTTTTGTTTTTTTGAGAGGTTTTGGCCATAGGGCATGTGCGCTTGCCAAATGGACAAAGAGTGACAGAGAGACAGCAAGAAATCACCCCCCAGGGGGGATGGTCATACCACAATCCCTTCTCCTCCATTCTCCTCTCGGGAACTTGGGCACGCACAGACACACGCCCATTGTGAGTTTTAAACCACCGGGTCCGGGACGTGAACTGCAGTTGACTACATGAGAGTCCAGCGACATAGCCATTACACTAACTGCTGGTCCCAGTATCAAAAGGTTTTTAAAAACAGTAAATTCACAGGTCTTAACTAGTTTTTATTTACATTACAAAGTAGTATGTGCTGTTCTACACAGTATCTGCTTCAGTGTTGAGTACTTGAAATGTGGCTAGTCCTGGCTGGCAGGTGGTGTGGTGGTTAAGGGCACTGGACTCCCACATGGCCAACTGTGGTTCA